TCCGCCCCGGCTCGTAGTCACGCCGGCCAGCAGCGGTGGCGACGCGGCGGGTGTGAGCTTCCAGAAGACAGTGCTGGTGGGGACGCGCCAGCAGGGCCGCCTTCTGGTCCGCCATGCCTACAGCTTCCACCAGAGCAGCGAGGAGGCTGGTGACTTCCTGGCGAACGCGGATCTGCAGCGCCGCAACTCCGAGTACCTGGTGGAGAATGCCCTGCACCTGCACCTCATCGTCAAGCCCGTCTACCACACCCTCATCCGGACCCCCAAGTAGCCTCCGCGTTAGGAAATAAAGGCTGGCCTAGATCTTGTGGGGCGAGGTGAGCCAGGAGTTGACTACAAGTTTAGCACCGTGAGTGGCCTCGGGGCTGGGGTGGAATCCAGGCGAGGGGTGGTAGACCAGAGTCCTGGATTCAGAAGTTGCTTTCACAGCCAACCCGAAGGCAGCGTTCTTGGTCCTGAATAAACCGATGCTCAGAGGTGAGGGGTGACTGCAGCACTAGTCCCTGGGAGAGAACAACCTGGGAGCCCAACCCCCCCGGGTTTGCCCACTCTTCATTGAGCATTTTCTGAGACACCCCATAGTCTCACCCAGGACCAGGGCAGGTAAGAGCATCCCCGGCCTGGGAAGCCTGAGGCACCTGGGCACCGTGCAGGAGTTTCCTCACCTCCTGTCCAGGGATGCAGCCAGGCAGCTCCCAAGCCGTCTCCAGGGGTTGTGAGGCTTGGGCCACCCCAAGTCCTTGACCTCTCCTGAGGGGGCCTGGGTGCACAGGCCGGGAGAGTTGAGCATGATGGGCCTGAACTCGCCCCTTCCTAGGGACTAGGAACCCCCTGCCCTTCCAGTGCTGGTGGGTTGGTGCTATGCAACCAGCCAGGGGAGACTGGGCATGGGGGAGGGGAGGGTGTTGGCACCATCTTTTTTTTTTTTTTTTGATTGCTAGAGGGCACATGGGCTTGCCAGAGATAGACAGCAGAGGGTGAAAGCACCCCGGTGGGGCTTATCCATGCTACAATCCCTTCTGCCCTATTTCTCCTTGCTGTTGGGCGTCTGGACCGGCATACACAAGTGCCCAGTGTGTTTTTCAAGCTGCCAGGGTGAGATCTGAACCACAGTCAGCCATGTGGGATTTGGCTCCTTTAACCACCAGGCTGTGGGGCTTCCTCCCCCTTATGGTTGAATCTTAGTCGGTCATGAGCACCCGACATTGCAGACAAGGTCTAGTTTCCAGCACACACATCAATACCCAAATCGAATTTTATTCTTAAAAAGGAAGGGGAAAAAGTCGCTGCAGTAACAAAACCAGACACCCCCCGCCACCCCATAGTATGTGACGTGCTCGTCGGCCCCTTCCCCAGCCAGCTGAGATGCCCCTGCCCAGGGACCCAGGAGTCCCGTCTCACTACCATCCCCGCCTGTCTCTGACTTCCAAGGTCAAGAACAGCCGCAGGGCGGCGCAGCGTTTTGGCAACTGTTCTGTCTGGCTGAGAGGCCACGGGCCTGGCCACCCCGTCCAGGCCTCCTGGCCTCACCTCCCCACTGGCATTGAAAGCATGGGAAGGTTGGGCAGACGCCCCCACAATCTGGGAGTCCCGGCTGTCTGAGTTTCTGCCCCCGGGTCGCCCCTCCGCCCAGCCTTCATTTCTCATTCTGTTACTCTCCATTCAGTCTGGGAGCCAGAAAGCCCGTTCCAGGCACGGCACCTCAGTTACGTCGGAAGCGTCCATCTTTGCCATGGGTGCTGGTGCCATGAGGCAGGTGGGACCCACGAGTAGCCCGACGGGAAACACTAGCTGGGTTGGGAGGAACAGCAAGGAGTGAGGGGTCCCCGGGGCCTGCAACGGGGAAGGGCCAGGGTCAGCGACTCAGGAA